CCCCCCAAAATAACCCAAAAAAACCAGGAAAAAGAAACCAAAAAACCCCAAAAAGACCCCAAAACCCAAATTTAGGAAATGCTGACCTCGGCAGACCCAAAAAGGAGCAGCAGCTCATGAACAGCATCAGAGAAGACGCGGCCGTAGCGCCGAACATTCTCTGTCACGGCCTCAAAATCCTCCAAAAACCCCCCAAAAAAATGGAATAAAACCCCAAAAAAACCCAAAAAAACCCCTAAACCCCGAATTTATGAATTGCTAACCTCAGAGGAACCAAAAAGGGGCAGCAGCTCATGAACAGCATCAGAGAAGACGCGGCTGTGGCGCTGAACGTTCTCTGTCATGGCCCCGAAATCCTCCAAAAACCCCCCAAAAAACCAAAAAAAACCAGGAAAAAAACCTAAAAAAACCCCCAAAAGACCCCAAAATTAAAATTTATGAATTGCTGACCTCAGCTGACCCAAAAAAGGGCAGCAGCTCGTGAACAGCATCAGAGAAGACACGGCTGTAACGCCGAACATTTTCTGTCACAGCCCCAAAATCCTCCAAAAACCCCCCAAAAAAATGGAATAAAACCCCAAAAAAACCCCAAAAAAGCCCTAAACCCCGAATTTATGAATTGCTGACCTCGGCAGACCCAAAAAGGGGCAGCAGCTCATGCACAGCATCAGAGAAGACGCGGCCTAGCGCCGAACGTTCTCTGTCACAGCTTCAAAATCCTCCAAAAACCCCAAATAAAACCCCAAAAAAACCCAAAAAAACCAGGAAAAAAACCCTAAACCCCGAATTTAGGAATTGCTGACCTCAGAGGAACCAAAAAGGGGCAGCAGCTCATGAACAGCATCAGAGAAGACACGACTGTAACGCCGAACATTTTCTGTCACGGCCCCAAAATGCTCCAAAAACCCCAAATAAAACCCAAAAAAACCCCCAAAAAATCTCAAGAAAAACTCAAAAAAAACCCTAAAAAGACCCCAAAATTTAAATTTATGAATTGCTGACCTCAGAGGAGCCAAAAAGGGGCAGCAGCTCATGCACAGCATCAGAGAAGACGTGGCTGTAGCGCCGAAAGTTCTCTGTCACGGCCCCAAAATCCTCCAAAAACCCCAAATAAAACCCCCCAAAAAACCCAAAAAAATCGGAATAAAACCCCAAAAAAGACCCCAAACTTTACATTTAGGAAATGTTCACCTCAGAGGAACCAAAAAGGGGCAGCAGCTCATGAACAGCATCAGAGAAGACGCGGCCGTAGCGCCGAACGTTCTCTGTCACGGCCCCAAAATCTTCCAAAAACCCCCCAAAAAAACCCCCAAAAACCCCAAAAAGACCCTAAACCCCGAATTTATGAATTGCTGACCTCGGCAGACCCAAAAAGGGGCAGCAGCTCATGAACAGCATCAGAGAAGACGCGGCCGTAGCGCCGAACATTTTCTGTCACGGCCTCGGCCAATTCGGGCTCGTCCTCGGCCACATCGTCCAGAGCCACCCACAGAGCCCCCTGCTCCCGCCGGGCCACGGCGGCCTGAAAGGGGAATTTGGGGAAAAAA